TGGAAAAAACAATAATTTATAAATTATCAAGGGTTCATGAGGGAGGGAGGTAAAAAATGAGGAGCTGATACCAAGGGCTCAAGTAGAAAGAAAATATTTTGAAAATGATGATGGTAAGAAATGTACGAAAGTGCTTGACACAATGGACGAATGTAGGGATTATGAAAAGAGTTGCACCTCCAATAAAATGATTTATTAAAAAGAAACAACAACTACAATGGACTTTATTCATCATTGATAAGCAGCAATGAAGTTCTGATATATGCTAACATAGATGAAACCGAAAAACATTAACATTATGCTGAATAACGTTAATTAGAAAGAAAAGGTCAGATATTGTATGCTCTGGCTTTTATAAAAATTTTAAAACAGCAGAGCATATACGCAAACATTTATTAGTGATTATCTAGGACGGAGGCAAGGGAGAAGTTATTGCTCTGAGGGTGCTGAAAAATACTTGGAAAAACAGTACTGACTGTGGTACAATATGATTAATGGAACTAGTGCAATTGAATTGTATAGTTAGAAACAGTTAAGATGGCAAATATTTTGTTTGTATGTTTTACCCCATAAAATTATTTTAAAAATAATAATATCAGGGGAAGAAATCATTAAGCAAGCCCATAAGAAATCACGTAACAAACATTTCAAATAATGAAACTCAGATTCACAGATTATTACACTCAGCTGAAAACCAAAATGTTACTGCTTCAATTCACCTGTCACTCTGTGGGAGAAAGATGTGGCAGTCTGTTTGTATAAAGTTTAAACTCACTGCCATCGAGTTGATTCTGACTCACAGTGCCCAGGCAGGACAGCGGAGAACGACTCCTTTAGTTCTGAGAGGACCGCCTCTAGAAAATCTGCAGGCAGTTCCGCTATCTTATAAAGCCGTGATGAGACAGCAATGACCGACGGCCGTGGGTTTGCTATTCTGTTTTGGTTTATTTACCATGACCTCTAAAGAGCCTGGCTATAATTGCCCAGTGTGAGACGACAGACACTGAAAACTTCAGAAGCTAAATAACTTACCCAAAGTCACAAACTATGGATCTAATCCATTTGGCTGATTTCAAAATCTACTCCCTTAATTTTAGCGTGCCTTGAAAATTGCAAAGGACTATCCTATTAGCAGGCAATCAATTAATAAGCAATGGAGAACCATTAAACAGATGAATAATAACCAACTATATTCCTATCACATGCTAATCATAAAAGGGATAAACATAGGAATATACTCACTCATTCCTGAGCATTCTCTGTCACCATCCCATACATTAGAAACAGCGTGTCCCGTCAAAAGGAGATTAATTAAACTTTGGCTATTGATAAAAATTTCAAAGTAGTTAAAATATGAATATAGTTATTTTTTCAAATTAAATGATTCTTAAATATAGTAAGGCATAAATAAAAGATTTTTAAATATTATGTTTCTTAAGAAAAGGGGTTAGGAAAAATCTTTTATTTTTCATTTATACATATTTTTTCAACTAAACACAGCCTTTCTGAATGTATCATTAAATGTATCAAAATATAACATCTATACATTCAGATAATTTTTAACATTTTAATCAAAGGTATTATTTCTAAATGAATAAAAAATTCCCACAAATGATAATTAAATTGATCATTTACTTTTTATATCAAGTGTCTTTAAAAGTAAATGTATAATTATTAATAATCTATATTTGATGGAAGATATGTGAAATTTAATCTCTGAAGTCAAAAGGTCTAGAAAAAAGGACTCCTATATTATAATAGGTTAACTAATGCTGCTTTCATTGATTTTTGTAGAAATGACTATAAAAAGGTGTGGAGAGAAGAAAACAGACCCCTCCAAAACAAACAAACAATAAAGCATTTAAAAGTTGATAAGAATTTTCTTATATGTGAAAAATGAGTAAATTCACTTATTAAAAAATTTCATAATTAGAACATAAAGCAGAATGTTAAAATACTTGCCATACTGCCCACTGTCATCTCAAAACAAAATATTTGCCATAATAAATACAACTCATATATAAATCTGAAGTGGAAATCAACATTTCATAAAGTGCAAAGAAAGTGATATGTAAAGCATTCCAGTGTTCAAATCCAAAGTCTTTATTCTGTCTGCCCTAGTGACCGGCAAAATCATTATAGTCGTCATGTTTTATTGTAGATCAAGAATCTAAAGGAAAAAGATCATGTAAGTGGATAATAGATTTTTATTTTAGTTCATTACCTGCCATGTCCATATACAGGATCTATCAAAGGTTCACTTGTGTCTTCAATTTCATTTTTTATGTTTTCAATACCCTGAAAGAAACCACAAATTTATCGACTCATTTTAAAAACTAAAATAGAAATTATGGTAGTTTAAAAATAGCACTTTGTGTTATAAAAATTAAAAAAACATTTGAAAGAAATATTTTAATTTTGTTGAGAATATATACAGCAAAACATACATCAATTCAACCATTCTGAGGTGCACAATTCTTTAGGTTGTATATGTGTAACCTTTCTGACTCTACTTTTCTGAGTTGCTCCTTCCTCAGTGACTTAAACACACTGTCCCCTAAATTCTGATCTCATCTTTTGAATTGTTGTTCTCAGTTTGTTCCCATAGCATAGTTCTTAAAAGAGCATAATGCTCAAGGCAGAAATTATGTACTAGTTAATTTCAGTTATTCTTTGGTTGTAAGAAGACTTCAGGGAATATTTTTAGTTAAAATGTTTAAGATTACTTCAGGCAATTGTTTCAGAAGTTTTTGTAGCCTCCTTAGTTCCAGAAAGTCTGAAGTCTATTAGAATTTTAAATTCTGTTATGCATTTTCTCCTTTTTGATCAAGATTCCTCTATAGAATCTCTGATCAAAATGTTTAGCAAGGGTAGCCTATTTAAGTAAATTTCCCCCTATGTTTGAAATAAGGTACAATTGACATGGTAAGACTTTTTCCCATACTTTTTATAAGTAACACTAATTTGACTGATGGGCAATACTGGTTACAGAGGTATATAAAGAAAAATGTTTAAGTTTCAGGGAGAAGGGGAAATTATTTAATCCAAAAGTCAATATTCACCTTACTTTAGAATACATTAAATCTAACAAGGGCTTTTAAAAGTTCATGGAAAGAGTCCAGTATCTTTTAACTCAAAATTTCCATGAACGTTTTGAAGCCACCTTATATACACAGCTAAGACCTCTAATATATTTACAGATCACTTAAAAACTTCTTTGTACTAAATACATACACAAGTACAGGCAGTCCTGGGGCTGGGAAAGAGGTGTGTTCCTAAGTCTATCTTTGTAGGTAAATTGGCACAGTCACATAGCTTATTCAACCTTACTTTAGGCTGTGTGTTGGGCTGCAATCGCGAGGTCAGCAGTGAGAAATCACCAGCAGCTCTGCAGGAGAAAGACTGGGCTTTTCAAGCCTGTAAACAGTTAGTTTCGGAAACCCACAGGGGGTCGCTACAGCATTGACTGGATGGCAGTGAGTTGGGGTTTTTGTTTGTTAGTTTGGTTAAGAAAAGGAGATTTAGTGGCACTCTCGCTAAGCATTGGACTGCTAACTTTAAGATAAAGGGGTACAATCGCCAGTCACTTTGTGGGAGAAATATTTACAGGGACGGAAATCTTACATAGGCCACTATGACTCAGAACAGACTGGTTGGCAGTGTGTTTCTTTTGTTTGTTTTTTAAACTACTGCAAGTAAAGACTCGAAGCTTTTTCAAAGATGTAAAAGGTACACATTTGTGGTAGTTACATAATCTGGTGTCAATTTGGGACTTGATAGGATTCAGAGTGAAGGGGTGGAGTCTAGTCTGTCAATTGGATTATAGCCAATGAGGCCTCTGTGTGGGCATGGCCTCTCCTGAGAATTCTGGGAAATCCTGTATTCTTTTGTGGGGGGCGGGAGATACTTCCCTCTCTCTGCTCACTTCCTGTGAGACATCCCTGAGCAGAAGCCACATGGACCATCTGGGAACTGGAGGAGCCACATGGAGACCCCTGCCAGAGCTGAGTTGCTTCTACCGCAACTGACTTCCCACCCACTGGCCTGTGATCTTCCTGCATTCGACGTCATTGCATGTGTTTTGTAATTCTGAAGAGGATTTTATCGATTGGTATCATACATATGGGCTACTATTGCACTTATGGACTTGGACTGGAGTGGGCTGGGATGTTTTCTCAATATTCAATTGCTCTTGTATATAAACCTCTTATACACATGAGTGTCTGTGAATTTGTTTCTCTAGTCTACCCAGACTAACAGAACATTCAACAAGTGAAAGTGATTGTGATAATTTTTGAGCAGGGGTTAGTTTAATTTCATCAACCCTAAAATGACAAAGATAAAACATCATTCATTTTCCTAATCACCTAACTGTAATTATTTGGCTCTATCAGATTACAGGCGGTTTTTAAGTGGTAAGACGATGATTAATCACTAATCAAAACCCAGACTGTCTTAAATATTGTAGGGGGATATAAAGTAGTAGGAAATCTAGTACTTGGTTTCCTAGTAAACGTTATAAATCATGCTATGATAAAGTTAAAGAATACGAACAGGTGACACAATCATTTGGGGGTTAGAGAATATCATTTCAAAGACCTGTGCAAGGAAGAGTAACTACAAGGCTGTATAGGACAAGGCAGACGGAAGTAGTATTAAAGGTTCTGAACATAAAACAAAAACCAAGAGAATAAGCAAGAAGAGCTCTTTAAGAAATGAGACACCCACAGTAGCTCCATCACTCCTAGTCACTACATCTAACCCATTAGTTTTAGGTCTTTCCCTTCAGAGTTTCCAAATATACACCCTTTCTTTTCCACTTCCATAGCTACTGTCAGTGCTTAGACTTGGAGAGATGCTTTTCCAGTTTTCCTGATTCTAGTTTTACATTCCACAAAACTCTCTTCAGTACAACACTTATCTCAAACTCCTCTGATTCAAAATTTAATTGCCTGAAAGATGAAATCTAAAATACTTTTGGCATAATATACAAAGGCCTTCATATTTAAGCCTTCTTCACATAAGATTCCGTGCTCATTTTAACCTTCCACAATTGCCCCTCTGGTGTTTATATTACAAAATGCAGAATGATTTTTAATTCCACAAACCTGTTACTCTTGCAATCCATTATGCCCTTATACTCTCTATTCTTGCTTTTTAAATAACTTCGTAAAGCTTCCCCACTTAGAAAACTTTTACTTAGCTATCAAATCTCAGCCTTAATAATCCCTACTATAGGAAATCTTTTCTTGCTTCCACCCAGTAAACTTATGCAAACCTTTTCTCATGTTCCCATCATGCCTTGTCCATGTAAAAACAAAACAATACTACAACACAAGTATTTATTAGCATGCCAACTTTTCAAAAGCACTGACTAGGAAGCATTAAAAAATTTTATATAGGATATTACGAACACAACCCCTAGCATGGAATTGGTGCTCAATAAATATCTGTCAAATAAAGAGGTAAGATTTCACACATGGTAAATCTAGTGGATACTCAACGGGGGATATGAAACTGACATTTGAGGGGGAAAGGTAGGGCTAGAAATGTACATACTGAGGTTAGGCACATATAAGTACGTTAGAAAAATAACCATTATAAAACAAATAGACAAAAATAAGAACATGGACTTGACACTTCTGAAATCTAAAAATTTAGAGGGATAGAAGAACAGGAGATAAGAGGTAAAGAAGGAAAAGATGCTATCAAAGAAAACAAAAAAAGTAGTCATGACATTATAGAACAAGAAATAGCAGACTAAGTCAAGGAAGAGGCTAAGGGTCGGTACAGTTCTCAGGAATTAAATAATCAAGGGCTCTCTCACTCACTACCCTGGAGTCCATGCTGACTCATCGTGAGCCTTTTGTGGTTTCTGAGACTGTAACTGTTTAGGAGAGTAGAAAGCCATCTTTCTTCTGCAGAGTGGCTGGTTTCAAACTTTGTATCGCAGCCCAACATGTAACCACTCTACCAGCAGGGCTCCTAGTCATGTCAGACATTGCTAAGATCAAAAAGAAATAAAATAAAACTCAGAAGACCTGACTACCTTTCATCATTAAAACATTACTAATAACTTCTTTTATTCATAAAAACCAGGGTTTTAAATGTTAAGATTGAAGATGGTTAAGTAACAAGTGAGTTGTAACATGAGTAGCTGACTCCTGTGTTTCAGTGTAAGAAACATTTATTATGAGATGTAAAATTAGCATCAACAATAAAATTACTTGTCTCATGCAAAAAGTACTAAACTCGAAAATTAAGAAGCATCTTTTTAAACAAACCTTTGTCAGTAATACAGAATATAGGAAAAGCAATACTCCAAATTTATTTCCCCACATTGAATACTGGTCCATGACAGCATCTTTTAATTCTGATAAATTTCTGAACGATCTTTTGCTGGAGGGTAAAAATAAGTAAATATTAGTTTCATAATAAGATTTGACCACATTTATAAAGAGGGAAATTTTAAGGTCTCTTACACATTTAAATGTATACAAATGAGACTTTTTATTTCAATTTCTTAATATAAGTTGCATTAAGAATGAATGCTGGTAACTGTTGCTGTAACTAACTTACCATTAATATAGACTGCCCACCTGGCACAGGATCTTGTCACCTTTTATGTAAAACTGTTGGTATCGACATTCTTCTTATATAGAGAATAGAGTAATTCTCTTCAAGAAGTGTTTAAGAATAGAGAAAATGACTTTTTTTAAGATTAGAATGTATTTAACAAATAATCTAAATGAGAAAGATAGGGTGCATATTTCTTTTAGAAGAAACTAAACACCAAATCCAAAGTAATTCCATTCTATCAACATGTCTCTCCTTACCTTTTGTTTTGTTGTAAAATATATATTTGCTCTAACGAAATATAGGCCTTTTTAATGAAAAATACAGAAAATGTATTTTGACAAATATAATAATTCTAGTATTTATCCCAGTAGAATTCTATATGTTAATCCCTGACGAGAAATTTTAAACTAAAATGATACTTTTTTACATTGTACTTATAAAAAATATTTTGTTTAAAAAAGTATATTTGGATAGTTGATTTAGAACTCTGAACAATTTAAGTACAAATACACAAATTATTCTTTTAATTTAAAATCTAATTAATCTTTAAATAGTGGGTTTTGAATTTATGTCTCAGCAGTGCAGTATTATACAATTCTAAGTACCATTCCACAGTATGAGAAAACTTAAAATGGCAATGTGTCCACAAGGTAAGTATTTTAAATGTTCCAATGTTACTTACTGAATTAATGCATGAAATCGCTCAAAGCCAAGCTCTTCGACAGCCAAGGCAGCTATACATAAAAGACACTTTTCAGCACTACACATGGCAAATAAATGACACAAGATACACACAGCAGGCTGTAAATACTTTCAAGCAATCAAAATTTGTCCCTATTTCTTCACTCCCTTAAAATTCTCAGATTTTAAAAAATTTGACTATAATATGAATTTATATTCAACATCTTAGTTACTATAATTATAACTAAAATGGATATAAGACTGTGAATGTGGAAGGGCCAAAAATAATAAACACCTCTTTCAAATTCAGGTATACTAGGCTAGAATTGTCAATCATAGTGCTTCACATATGACTGTAATGTGTCCAAGACCCCCTCCCCGCAAAACAGACCCACTGTCACTGTTTTAATTCTGGCTGAAAGCAATCCTATATGACAGAGTAGAACTGCCCTTCTGAGTTTCCGAGGCTGTAATTCTGTACGGGAGCAGAAAGCCTCATCTTCCTACCATAGTGCAAGGCCACTGCTAAATTTTAACTGCTGATTCAGTTAGCACCCCAGTGTATACTACCACGCCACAGGGCTCCTTGTTATATGTCCTATGCTTTGAATTAACCTTTCAGTTTACAGATCAATATAAAACCACCAGAATTAATCCTCCTCCACTATATTATTACATCTTCAGGTTTGATAATTATTTAGCAAATTTATATAACAAGGCATAGCATTTTGAAGGTACACAGGTTCAACACCGCTTAAGTTTGTTTCCTCATTTGTTCATATAACTATTGCAAAGTTATCATTAACTTATTTAGATGGCCATTATTAATATGATACTACAAATATATTTTAAAATAAAGGAAAGCATCTTACTTAAAGGCAATGATGATTGAGTAATTTAATCTAAATGACAAGAAATTTTCTACAGATCTTACCTCATTTAATTCTACCATTCTCATTTTACAGAACAAGAACTCCAGATACAGAAAAGTATACTCTCAAGAGTCCATAGCAATATACAGCAGAGGTGAGATCTGAACTCAGATAGTCTTGGCTCTAGTCTTTAAAAATATCACACACAAATCAAAATTCCTACTCTAATTTACCAAAATGAACAACTTCATGTCTATTTTGTAGAGTAAATCTTAGTGCTTTCAAATATAAACAAATTCACACTAGATGAGAAGAGCGTATTAATTAAAAGTTCATTTTAGAATTTACAAATTAAATTTATTATTTAAAATGCCACATTATGCTTTTTCAAAACTTGGTTTTAATTTTCATGTGTTTCAAACTACTTTTAAAAGTCTTCAGAAGCTCAAATATATGAATATAAGCAATACTTTTTATTACATAGGAAACAAACTGAATTTGAACCTGAGTATTCACTACGCAAACAAGAGTGCACTACCAACAAGCCGTAGGTATACACACCACAGAAGCCAATGAAATTAATGATCAAACAGAATGTAGTATCTACAAAAAGGGAACACTTCCCATTTAAGATTCTGGGACAAAATAAAAATTCCATCTAATCTTTTCCAAATTGCACTAACTGTTCTCCTGCGCTTGATTATCCCAATAATTTTACTGGGGTACACACTATGAAAGTAAACATAGAATAGAAACTTGGAGAAAAGAGGCAGGCAAATATAAAAGCTTAGCAGGCAGAGATGGTGAAAAAATACAAAACACAGGGGAAAAACCATGGGGATAAAGGAAAGAACAGACAGAATAGATTGTTATATGGAGTAAACATTTTAATATAAGTTGTTTGTCAGAATCTACAGTCAACTCTCACCTTTTCAATTAACTTTTCAAGTTTATACAATATTAAATATGAATATATATGTACTTGCTTTAAGTATACTCTCTACTATACTCTAAAGATAATTTAATAATTCCTTTCTCAAAATGTTAATATCTTAAATTAAACTATTAACCATGTTTACATGCAATGTAGTAAAACGTAGAAAATATTCTTAAGCTAATCTTGATATTTACCACAATCATCCTTATGAATGTCTTCCACAACTATCATTTTCAACTCTTAAATATGTTAAATTCTTTTTGAAAGGCTATGTTTGAAAGGTTAAAAGAAAACTTGATCCAATTATTTAAGTTTTAAAAATTATTCCTTGCAAGTGTACTACAACTAGAGCTTGGCAAGTGGAAAGCATTTTCACTACAAAGATGATGCAAAAAAAGCACTGACATTTCACAGAGACACTTTAGGAGGGAAATAATGCCTACTAGAAAAATCCTACATGGATATCAAGATGTAATGACACGCAAACAACATTTACACGTTTAGAAATCAGGTATTTTATCTTTGAAAACTATTTCCCTAAAGACTATAGTTAATGGAATAACTTATCACTGGAATAAATCACTTATTCTATGTAAACACTACCAATTCATAAAATCTACCAGTTAGAAAATTCTTGAAAAGGAAAAATCAGAGAGTAATGTTTTTAATTGTGAACTAGCAGAAGTCTTCCCTCACTTGTTCAGGCTGAGAGATTTTAGGACAGGGATTTACAGACTCAAGATCACATATGCATTATGAGTACAATAAATGCAACGCAAGCAGCAGTTGTTTCATCTAATGACAAAAATCTGCAAAGTATAAAAATAAACTTAAGGGTAACCCATAATTAAAATCACCCTAAGTAAGCTATATATAGTGATGTCCACAAATTTCAGAAGGAAACCAAAAACTTTAGTCAAAGTAGGTACTGAAGGAAATAGACAAAAGCTACCGGTTGTTAGGAAATTTTATGTTAAAAAAAAAAAATTTCCCCCAGACACCAAGAAAACTATTATAACATCTGAAATTAAAGTATACAGAAATTTATTGTTTAAACTATTTGAATGTGAATTCTAAAACTCAAAAGACTGTCATCAAGCAGAAGTTAACTGCAATTTATGTGAAAATTGGAGGGTTTTTTCCCATTTAAAAAAAAATGAAAGTTCTAATTAACAAATTAAACTCCCTGTAGTTTAAGGGAAATGGAACTGAAAAACACTGAAGTTCATGAATTAGACTTAGGTTTTAAACAGACAGACACACAGACAGAGAATGAGAGAAATATGAAAATTAAATAATTTTTTTCTTAAAAATTTTTAAGTTTTACTCAATGGTAGGTGACTTTGAGTCAGGATATTAAAAATGTATCTTACAAGAAGATTCCACTTGGCAACTAGGCTCAGCAGGACTCCCAGAAATACTAGCAGTTTCTTCCGTTGTCTTTCCTCTTAACCATGAAACCAAGCAAAATGATCCGGCGTTGTCACAAGCACTTTCTAATATGTCACACAAGGTATGACAAAGGAGGTCCTTCCGTTCTTCTTCTACAAAGAACCAAAGAACAAGTTACAAGGGTTTTCTTTCAGAAAGGAAGAAAAAAAATCCCATCATGAAAAAAATGTCATAAATGTGTTGATTTAATGCTGGGAACATACGCATTTTAAGGAAAAGGAAAACCCAAAAACAACAGATTTTAAATTGTTTTACGGTAACAACATGCTTGCGGGTTAAAAATATCACCACTATTAGTTACAACATTCCTATCGATTAGAAAAAGAACACTGGAAAATGCAAAATTAAATATTAGAGCATATACCTTGGAATAATTTGATAGTGATGGTCCTTTCCATTAAACTGCAAATGAAGCACTTAAGGCAGGTGTTCTTTAATGCAAACTAGGTACAATGCAGACCTGCTTGGCCTATTTCCACCCTGCCCCACAGGAATAAGGATCATTGGTTGACACGCTGTTGGCAAATACAATACCACAATTCACTACAGGAGCAGAGAGGCCACAGAGGTTATGCGGCATAACATAGAAGCTACTGAAGCTGTGATAAAATTTATGGCAAATAGCACAAATGCTCAGAATATTTTTCTCAACTTTAGCCTTTGTGCTAAGTATTTTTCAAGGAATATAGCTCAGATTACCCTTCAGAAGCAGTCTAACTTTCTGAACTTTTAAATAAATGGTATAATATACGTGCACTTGTAAGCAAAATTTTATTCTACAAGGAACTCTCTCTCCCAGTACATGCAGATCTTTTTAAAGACAGAAACTGTACCATCCACTTTATAACTTCCACAGCATGTGGAATCTTTGAAATGTGTTATGAAATATTTCTGTGCAAGAAATATTACAACTTATTTTAAAAATCATTTTAAAAATAGTATCTCCGGCTGAGGTTGGCTGTGTAGTCATGTCTGGGAACGAGCTGCTCCAAGTAGAGACATGGAGCAGGCACATCGCCCTCAAGGATTGGCACACAGGAATGAGGTCTAACAGGAGTGGTGGTTCCATGGGGATATGGGAAGGGTGGGGTGGGGTGGGGGGCACGTGTGCAGGGAGCAGAGGGGTTGGGGAACAGGGAGCTGATAGCACAGATGACTGCATAACCTCACTCGATGAGATAAAGAAACAGAATTGTATGTAAATGGATATATTGGATCATGTATGATATGGCAAAACACACACACACACATCTATTACAGAGGTGAGGAAAAAAGGGTTCTTAGGGGGTAGGGTTAGGCAGGGAAAGATATAAAGGGGATATCAAGGAGTTCAAGAAGAAAAAAAATGTTTTGAAACTGATTGTGGTAGCAATTATACAATACTGCTTGATGTGATTGACCTATGGAATATTATAGTATCTGTAAGAGCTCCCAATAAAATGATTAAAAAATTTTTTAAGCATCTCATTAAAAATAATATATTGTCTCTTATGTATAACATTTTAGTATTCCTACTAAACTTATTTGGCCTCCTTAGTTATTTGGTGGCAAAAAAATATGGCAGTGATACTTAATTTTTAAATTCATAATCATTAATAGAATCTATGGGATTGGTTTGGAATGCAAGCTACTATGTCCTCATATTTAGTCCTGTAGTGGTAATACAGCCTGCCTTCTTTAAGATGTCAGAGTGAGGTTACATGAAACTATGTAAGTGACGGAAAGATCTTTGTAAACTTTCCAGTGGGAAGCAGATGTTCATTATCACCAGTCCTTATGCCGTGCCATACATCTGACTTAATTATATTGAGGGGTCATGACAGCTTCATTCGCAATTTAACTCAGATATATTTGAAGTAACGATCCCATTGTGTAAGGCATTATACTAAATGATGCGGGAATATAAAGGTAATTCTCGGTTGTTGCGTGAAGCTAAGACAAAAAAAAAGACCACAATAACAGTGTGTTATAATAAACCAAAATAGCTGTTGTTTAAGAGTTGATCCAAAGTCATATCAGCCCTGTAGGGCAGAAGACCGAGTTACCCCATAAATTTTCCCAAGCTCAAATCTTCACAAAGCAAACATCTCTCATGCAGAGTGATTGGTGGGTTCTCCCCACCCACCCAGCAGGTGGACATGTTAACCACAGTACCACCAGGCTCCTTTATCACAGCTCGGCAAACCGCATTATGTGTCAGGGTGAGGCCAAAAGTTCCTTCTTCTTTTCTTCAATTACATCTCTTATTTAAGAAAACCAAATTTAGAAATATCCACTTTAACGTTTGAGGTCAATATTGATGAAATTTGTAAAACATTCTACAAACCATACCACTTATAGGTTACTTTTTAAGATGGATATTGTAATTAAGCTAATGACAATGGAAGATGCATAGAAATCTAAGGGAAGGGGTAAAAGGGTTTTAAAGGGAACTATCCTACCTGGGCAATCTCTCCAAGACGACTTCTCAGAAGAAAACAGGAGCTTCTTCAAAAGAAATGCCTTTGTACAATTAAAGCAATCATTATTAGAAAGCATTACTAGAAAGCATTTATACATTAATTTAAAAGGGGGGAAAACTAGTTTGTCCCTCCTCCCTGATATTTTGAATTACTGTTACAATTCTAAATGCTTTCCCTTCACACTCAACAGAATTCTGCAGTTATTCAGAATATACTAATAGAAACTTGATTCTAGATCCATAAAATGTTGCTTCTTCTACAATATATATTTTCTCACAAATACAAGAATTAATTTAAGAATAACAGACACATACTGGTCATTGCAGAAGCCCACTGTATTCACAAAGTAAATGCCCATAGAACTGGAGCACACACACACACATTTCCCTCCAATTCCCTGCAAGAAAAGAAATCAAAATAGAAAGTGGCTTGGTTCTATTTGCTCAGATCTGTGACACAAGATTACCTATGAAAGTCATTTCTTTATTAACCGAAGCTCCAAACATCCTGATTTAACTTAAAGAAGCTATCAGGATTCAAAAGAGAAACAATTGTGTTTTTTGTCCTTTTCTTAAATGTGTCAACAATGCCACATTGGGGATTCAACTTCTTTACTAACTAGAAATAATAGCACAAACCTCAAGGGGTAGAAGTGATGATTACATGAAGCAATACCGGAGTAGGTACCCCCCCAAAACAAAACAAAACAAAACAAAACAAACAAACCAGAGTTGCACTAGGCAGAGCAGAGCTTTAGCAGTATGCATTTTTCACACTAGGCATCAAGCAACTCCCTCTGAGTTGGTGCACCTGTGGTGTCACGGCAGAAGGCTTTCTCTGGTCACAGTGAAAAGCAGTTTCCCTGGAACCTGCTTTTGGTGATGGCCGATTTAAAAGAACAGC